ATTTTTCAAGATCTTCTTTATATTCTTTCTTAAGTAATTTTACTATTGTTTGCTCTCACTTGATTTCTTCACATTGAGAACTTCTTTGGTTTCTTCCTCCTTGTCCTGGGAGCTCAGCAGGTTGGCCTGTGGCACCCCTTTGTTCTCCGCGGGCTCCTGTGCTGCTTCAGCCTGTTGCCGGGACGGCGCCGCCCAGGAAGCAGCCCCCGGCCTTGGCTCCATTGCCCGAGCTCAGTGGTCAAAGGCTCAGGGGCACTCACGCCCTCAGGGGCCCCGTGGCCTGCCTCCTTGCTGGTGCCCGGTTGGCTGAAGTCCGGCAGGGGCTTCCGCTCCCCTCCGCGTTCCCCCAGCCTAGAGCTTTTTTTTTCTCCTTCCCGCTAGGGAAGTCCAGCATCAGAGTCAACAGACTGTCCTCTGCGCGCAGTTTGCGCGAGTCCCGGGGGCCCGGCCTTTCGCGCTCTCCCCGGACTCCACCTCACAGCCCCGTCTCCCTCTGCCTGAGCCTGGGTCCCCAGGGATTGGCCCAGAACTGGGGTTCGGAGCAGTCCGGACTGAGGCTCAGCGCCGCCGGAGGCCTTGTTTCTTCCGGCTAGGGTAACCCAGCATCAGAGTCAACATTCAGTCCTCTGCGCGCATTGCGCGCGAGGTCTATTCTTGTATTATTATTTATTGTTGTATTCTTTTCCATGTGAATAGCTGGAGCCCTACTTTTGCCCCAGCCTGTATATTTGTGAAGCTTGTGAGAGTAGCAGTGTTATGTTCTTTATCTTAAGAAGACGTCTCCCCCCAGAGAAACCAAGATGGCAGCATAGGTAAACGTCTAACTGCAGCCTCGCACAACAATTTGAAAAATACAACTAAAATACAAAATGGACATTATCCAGAACTACAGGAAAGTCGACTGACTGGAAATTCTACAACGAGAAGGAAAGAGAAAATCAGAAGGAAAATCAGAGGAGCTGTAAAAGCCTAAGGTACGGAGACATGGTGCACGCGTGGGGAGAGGATGGAGCTGGAGAAGAGGGGGCGGCTGAGTGCCTGGCTGGCGTTCCCTAGCGGGAAGGAGACAAAAGCTCTGGACTGTGCTGTACCCCAGTTCCAGGCCAGACTCTGGGGACCCAGACTCATATGGAGGGAATCTGGGCTGTAAGGTGGAAACTCAGGCAAGCAGCGAAAGGCAGAGCTCTGGAGGTGTGCACGTGAATGCACACAGAGGATGGTCTGTGGACTGAGCCACTGGATTGCCCTAGTGGGAAGGAGACAAAAGCTCTGGACTGCACTGAACCCCACTTCTAACCCCACTCCCAACTGCACTGAACCCCAGTTCCTGGCTCATTGGGGGAGAGACTAGACTGTCTCGTACCGGGCAAAACTTGAGGGCACCTTTCTCTCATAGGTGCTTCAGCGAGTACCAAAGGATACTGAGGAACACTGAGACTCAGGAATCTAATACGGCGGGGCTGACAGGAAGCCAAGGCTGTAGATTCCACCCTGAAACTCCACCCCATCCAAGCTGAGCACAGAGGCTTTTGAATAAGGCTGTCTCCCAGCATAGACACAACTGATCCTCATAGCCAATTGGCCTGGAGGTCAGTTCCTCCCAGTGATACCAACAACAATCAAGACTTAACTACAAAAGACTGTACACACAGTCCACAAAGGGATGCACCAAGACTGTCCACCTCAGGTAACTGGGAGGCTGACCCACTGAACCATATAGGACACTTTAGCACCCAAAGCCACCCTACCAACTCAGGGAAGCTGTGAAAATGCCGAGACAAGAAAACAGGTCAAAAATGAAAAAAATGGAGGACAAGAAGCAATTAGATATAGAGTTATAAGGTTTTTCAAGAATTTCCTAGAAAAGGCCAATAAAATAAATGAGACCTATGAGGATATAAAAAAGGATCAACTAGAAATAAAGAATACATTGTTTGAAATAAAAAAAATATTATACAGAGTCCTAAAAACAGAATGGAAGATCGCAAGAATCAAGTCAAAGATTTGGAACATAAAGAGCCAGAAGACACTCCTCCACAGAAGCAAGAAGACAAGGAATACAAAAAGTTGAAGATGATGTAAGAAACTTCTGGGACAACTTCAAGTGAACCAGCATCAGAATTATGGGGGGTCCCAGAAGAAGAGAGAGAGCAAGATACTGAAAACATATTGGAAGAAATAGTGACAGAAAAACTTCCCCCACCTGATGAAAGAATTAGACTTACAAGTCCAGGAAGTGCACAGAACCCCAAACAAAAGGAATCCACAGAGGACCACACCAAGACAAATCATAATTAAAATTTCAAGAGCAAAAGACAAAGAGAGAATATTAAAAGCAGCAAGAGAAAAGCAGGTAGTTACTTATAAAGGAGCACCCACCCGATTGTCAGGTGATTTCTCAACAGAAACCATGCAGGCCAGATGGGAATGGCAAGAAATATTCAAGGTGAAGAATAGCAAGAACCTACAGCCAAAATTACTCTACCCAGCAAAGCTATCACTCAGAATCGAAGGCCAGTTAAAGAGCTTCAGAAATAAAAAAAAAACTAAAGGAGTTCATCACCGCCAAACCAGAAGTATATGAACTGCTGAAGGGGGTTCTTTAGGAAAAGGAAGAAAATAAAGATAAAAATTATGAACAACAAATACATAACTATCAACAAGTTTTATTAATAAAAACCAAGGGAATTAAAAATTTGATATACTGCCGAAACCAGTTTGGTTCAATGGATAGAGCGTCGGCTTGGGGACTGAGAGGTCCTGGGTTCGATTCCAGTCAAGGGCATGTACCTTGGTTGCGGGCATATCCCCGGTAGGGGGTGTGCAAGAGGCAGCTGATCGATGACTCTCTCATCGATGTTTCTAGCTCTCTATCTCTCTCCCTTCCTCTCTGTACAAAATCAATAGAAATATATTTTTAAAAAATAAAAATAAAAATTTGATATACAATATTAACTGGTAAACATAATAGAATCAGAGGTATGGAATGGGAGTGGACTGATGATTCTTGGGGAAAAGGTGAATGGGGGGTGTGGGAAGAGACTGAACAAAAACTGTGCACCTATGGATGAGGACAATGGGGGGTGGGGAAAGGGCAGAGGGTGGGGTGGGAACTTGGTGGAGGAGAGCAATGGAGGGAAAAAAATGAAGAACATTTGTAATAATATGAACAATAAAATTTATTGAAGAAGAAGAAGAAGGAGAAGAAGAAGAAGAAGGAGGAGAAGGAGAAGGAGAAGGAGAAGGAGGAGAAGGAGAAGGAGAAGGAGGAGAAGGAGAAAAAGAAGAAGAAGAAGGAGAAGAAGGAGGAGGAGGAGGAGGAGGAGGAGGAGGAGGAGGAGGGGAAGAAAAAGATCAGCCTCTCCTGCTAAGGGAGGCGGCACCTGTGGCGGAGGCCCTGCCGCTCACAGTCCCCCTGCTGCCAGGCTGGCCACAGCCTGGGGGCCACCCAGGACCACCAGGAAGGGGGGAGGGCAGCACTGGGGACCTGGGCTGGGAAGGCCTGGGCCAGGGCAGCTCCGAGGACGAGGGAACACCACGGGGGATGCAGCCTCAGAATCCAACCCAGGCCTGCACTGAAGGGCCTTCCCTCCATGACTCCTGCCCCGGTGAAGACCCAGCCCCGGCTGGCAGGCAGCCTCATACCCACCACCGGGGGCTGCTGAGTCAGGCTCCCTGCCAAGCAGCCCCTCCCTAGCACAGCCGCCGAGGTGGAGGACAGGAGTTTACCAGGAGTTTCACATATCATCTCAACTATTGGTGACACGGCAGGAAGGCATGCTGGCCCCATTTTACGGTTGAGGAAACTGAGGCTTGGGTTGGGCTATTGATTAAGAGAAGGAGCCGGTGGCACAGGCTTGGGGCATCTCTCCCATCCTGAGTAACTGGGCAGGCAGCCTGGCCCCTAAGCCTGTGGCTGACTCACAGGGACTGGTGGAGTGGCTTCCTGGGGAAATTGCCAGGCCCAAAGCCCCTCGAGGGGGTGTGCAGCCCCGTTTACTGCTCTGGGGCCTCCTGGGGGCACTGCTGCCCTCACAGGGCCTTCCCCAGAGACCAGGCCCGAGGTGCAGGGCTGCTCCCCGCAGCTGCTGGCTGCTGGTGAGGGGGGAGGGGGGGCGGGATGGGGAGGATGGGGAGGCGGGGGGAGGGGCAGCTGACGCCTTGATGTGCCTTCTCCGCTGGAAGGCACCCGGAGGGCCTCCCTCCCCCCCCCCCCCCGCCCCGTCCATGAGGGGCAGCGCCACGCGAGGAGCAGAGCTCTGAGTGGGGAGGCAGTGGCCTCCACGCCGCCGTGTTCTTGGCTAAGGGCCACGCAGGTCCCCAGACCCATGCCATCCCGGCCCTGGCAGGCCCCCGAGACCCTGAGCAGCGGGCTGAGCCGCGGCCTGTGGCTGCCCGAGCGGGCTGGGGGAGCCGGAGGGGGGCTGGGGGAGCCGGAGGGGGGCTGGGGGGGCCGGAGGGGTCAGAGGGGGGCTGGGGGGCCGGAGGGGGGCCGGAGGGGGGCTGGGGGAGCCGGAGGGGGGCTGGGGGGGCCGGAGGGGGGCTGGGGGGGGGCTGGGGGAGCCGGAGGGGGGCTGGGGGGGCCGGAGGGGGGCCGGAGGGGGGCTGGGGGAGCCGGAGGGGGGCTGGGGGGGCCGGAGGGGGGCTGGGGGGCCGGAGGGGGGCTGGGGGAGCCGGAGGGGGGCTGGGGGGCCGGAGGGGGGCTGGGGGAGCCGGAGGGGGCTGGGGGAGCTGCTGCCTCTCTTCCTCCAGGCTCTGGGCCTCTGCCGGAGGAGCGCGCCCCGCAGACCTTGTCGGGCTTGGTCTTGCTCCGTCCTGACCCTCACATGGTCCCAGAAGGCAGGGTGCGGGGTCCCAGAGGGCAAGGCCACAGCCAGGGCATTAGGTGCCCCAACCGGCCTGTCTGGCTGAGTCACCCTGACCTGGCCGGGAGGGCAGCCCCAGAGGCGGCTATAAAGGCGCCGGGCATCCTCGGCCGGCACAGTTGTCACGTCTGCGCCATGCTGGGAGGCCTGGGGAAGCTTGCTGCCGAGGGCTTGGCCCACCGCACGGAGAAGGCCACGGAGGAGGCCGGTAAGGACCTGGGCTCGGCTGGGGGCTGGGGACCCACTTGCCTGGGCCTGCTAGAAGCTGGCCCCGCAGTTTGGGGCAGGCCTTGACCCCATGAGGAGCCCTGGCCAATCAGGCCCGTAAGGACGGGGGGGAGAGGGAGCAGGAGCTGAGGAGGGCTGTTTGGGGTAGAGCCAGGAGGGTCCCCTCCATCTCAGAGGAAGCCCGGTACGGTGGGGTGGGATGGAGGGCAGCCCAGCCTTGCCGGAGATCTAGGCCGTGGTCTGTTGGAACCGGAGTGCGGTGTTCACACGAGGGGAGCAGCTGGTGCTTGGACACTTCCTTCTGGAGACCGGGAGCCTTGCCGTCCCGCAGCCTCACTGGAATACGCTGTCCGGGCAATGCCGCCGCAGCCCTGCCGGGGTCCAGGCCCCAGCTGACATTTGTTTGCTCTTCTCTCTCCAAATGCACACGTGTCCGCACTTCGCCGTCAGTTAACTCTGCCCGTGTTGAGCGGCCTCTTTCCTCCTCCGCTGCGTTCCCAGGATTCCCATTCATAGATGAGGAGCCAGGCAGTGGAGGGCGTTTAGGATCAGGGCCAGGGCCCCGGGCTCCCATTCCTCGGGTCCTAGCAGGCTGGCACTCACACTCAAGCCAACTCCGAGGTGGCAGGCAGCCCCCTGCTGCTGGAGGACAGCTTTGGGGAACGGGTTTTGCTGGAAGAGGCTCTGGATTTGGCATCCCTGTGTCTCCGTCTGGCTAGAGGCAGCATGGCAGCACACCTGTGAGGTGTGGTGACCTGGGAAACAGGCTCAGCCTTGGCACCAATCCTAGCTGGCAGGAGGGCCTGCTCGCTGGCATTCCAGGCTGCACCAGGTGAGGGGCACGAGGGCTCTGTGCTCCTGTTTGCCTAACTCAGCCTCTCTCCCAGCAGCCACACCCTCCCCACAACATCCTCCTCACAAAGCAAGCTGAGGGTCCTTCCCTTGAGCCAGCCGGCTGGGCAGCACCCAGAGCTGCATTCAGGGCACCCAGCGCTGCCTGAGCCCTCCAGGGAGAGCTGCCCAGCAGGCTCTCACTCTGGGCTTGTCTCTCCTTTTCAGTTCATGCCGTGGAGGGGGTGGTGAAGGAGGTAGTGGAGCACGCCAAGGAGGCTGGAGAGAAAGGTATGGTGGGGGCTGGGAGGAGGGGAGAAGGGAAGTGAGGGGCTGGGAGCAGCCTGCTCTCTGACTAACCCTGACCCAGATGTTGCACCCTTTCGGATGGCATGCAATTATCACACCTTCTGAGGCACAGAGCTAACCTTGCTAAGGCAGGCCCTAGCCCCCAGGCCTCTGTGGAGCATTGAGACTATGCCACACTCGCTGGGCAAAGCATTCAAGACATAAAATTATACACTTATACAAATGAATATTTACATAAATGTTTGTATGTGTATGTGTACTGTGAGTACAACTATGTAAAAAGTATAAGTGTACCTCATTCCTTACAACAAAATAAATTCCAAGTGAATCAAGGACTTAAATATAAATGCATGAAATTATTAAATTGTTAGAGGAGTGCATAGGAGATTTTAACATAATCTCAGAGTGGGGAGGGTCTTTTTTTTTTTTTTTTTTTAAACTATGACAGAAAACCCAACAACCATAGAGGAAATGTTAGATAAATCTGACAATAATACTTCAAATTTTCCATAATTAAAAATATATACTCTAAGCCAAAACAAAAACAAAAAGCCACAGCTGAGGGGAAATGTTTGTAGTGGAAATGATAACTCAAGAGAGCCGGGCAGGGGATGCAGCAGTGGTTCACAGGAAAAGGCGTGTGAACAGGCAGCCACCCTGTGAGCAGGCGCTCAGGCTCACTCACAGTTAAAGTCAGAAATGCAAGCTGTTTGGGGAAATTAAATAAAATCCGCACACATTCCTCAGGAGCTCTGTTGCCCTCCACCCCACTGGGCTCCCCCAGGGCATGGCCCAGGAAGACAGCCACATCCCACAGGCCACTGCAGGGGACACAGCCCAGCAAGTGGCTCCAATGTTCACTTTGCTCACCCAGACATTATTCCTCTTTCTTGCTGACAGCCATTGCCGAAGCCTTCAAGAAGGCCCAGGAGACAGGGGACAAAGTGGTAAAGGAAGTTACGGAGACTGTGACCCACACAGTCACAAATGCTGTCACCCATGCAGCAGAAGGCCTGGGTAAACTGGGACAGTGACCACACCCACAGATGCTTCCTGAATCTCAATAAAAATCTGTGAAATGCGTACACTGTGCCCTGGATTTATTCCCATACAGTGGAAGCACTACCTCTGTCCTGTCACCTGCTGTAAAACACTGACACCCCCTGGGGGTTAGATAGTCTCACCCATCTCAGCAAGGACCTCTTTAAGAATCGTTCTGTCTGTGCTCCATTCCCCTTTTCCTCCCTCCCTCCCTCCCTCCCTCCCTCCCTCCCTCCCTCCCTCCCTCCCTCCCTCCCTTCCTTCCTTCCTTCCTTCCTTCCTTCCTTCCTTCCTTCCTTCCTTCCTTCCTTCCTTCCTTCCTTCCTTCCTTCCTTCCTTCCTTCTCCTCATCTGAAGATATTTTTTTTCCATTGGTTTTCAGAGAGAGTGGAAAAGAGAGACAAAGAGAAACACTGATGTGAAAGAAATATATCGGTTGGTTGCCACCCCATGCCCCCAAATAGTCTGGGAGCCTGTAACTGTGGTGCATGCCCTTGACCAGAATCAAACCTGGGACCCTTCAGCCTGCAGGCCGACGCCCTATTCACTTAGCCAAACTAGCTAGGGCTGTGCAACATTTCTTAGAAGATTCTTTTCCCAGAAACTATTTGTAGCTTCAGACACCTCAGTGCTTTGGGATGCCCAGCGGGAGGACCATAATTCAGCTTATATATTCTTTGGGTTTTCCTTGAAGTGTTCGTACAGGATTCAGGAAGATCACAGACCAACCTGATTAACAGGCCAGCAGGACAGGTTCAGACACTTGAGATGCTTCACATTCTGAAAGAGGCTTTGGAGAAGCTTGTCTGCTGATCAGTCACAAAATCAGGCCAAGGAAGAATGAGGCTACTGCTTATGGGCTGTTGAAGCCACTGTTGGATCTCACTTCTGACACTTGTGTTAGGCCTAATTGGTGGGCAAGAATACTTGGCTTTCTCTCCTTCCTGCCACAAGTAGGTCATTACATTAAGGTTAAACATATGTTTAAGTAGCATTTAGCTTAACATTGGATTTTTCAAAAGTAAATGACATGCTCCCTGGACCAAACTGTAATTACAACTAAAATAAATAAATAAATAAATACCATCTTGAACAATCAAATGAAGACTAGCTGGAGAGAACTCTGATAACCAAGGACAGAAAATGAAAAATAGCAGGGTTGCTGTCTGCCTGATTGCTGAAAATGCAGTCACCCTCTTAAAAAGCCAACACACTCAATTCTGTGTGCAGCCACTCAGCTTGTGCTCCAGTAGGGGGAGGGCAGAGTGGACTAGAGCTTTGTGAACAGAAGCCAGGGTTGGAGGCTTTGGGGTTAAACCTCAGAAGGCAGACATCCCCGTTTCCTGTGCTGAGTCATTCACTCACACTTTGGAGGGCAACTTTTTTACATAGATCTTTGCTATTCAGGCAGTTTTTGCTTGTGAGGAAGACAGTGGCCTCACCCTATTAGAAAACCTCTTGCCCCATCCTGTTGAGTTTCTGAGGCCCATTAAGAGATTGAGACTAACAATTAGCCTCCAGGAAGAAGCAATTGCCCTACCCTATTGGAAAATTTCTCATTCCACCTGTGGACTATTGCCTGAGGCTAGTCATGACTGAATCCAATCAGTCTGTAGGCAGAGGTGGGTCTCTGGAGGCTTTGAGTCTTTGCCTGATCTAATTAGTCAGAAACATCATTTGACACTGTCCTGCACTAGAGATTGGAGGGATGGCAGATCCATCTACTACAGAGAGCCAAAATGGAGAGACAAAAAGAAAAGTGAAAGAACAAGAAAATTCTTCAGAAGAAGAGCTAAATGAATTATAGAAAAGAACTTTATCAGACTTTGAACTCAGAATAATGATGGCAAAGATGTTCAACAGCATGAGAAAAGATATAGTAACTATGAAAAATAACATAGCACTAATAAAGAACATAGTGGAAGGAATACACAGCAGATTAGGGCAAGCCAAGGATCAGGTCAGTGAATTAGAAGACAGGGTAAAAAATTCACTCAATTAGAGAAACAAAACAAAACAAAAAATTTTAAAAAAGGAGGACAGCTTTAGGGAACTTTGGGACAAGATGACACTTAACAATATTCACATAATAGGTGTGCTAGAAGGAAAATAAAGTTTGCAAAGGATAGAGAATGTGTTTGAAAAAATAATGGCAGAAAACTTCTCCAATATAATGAAAGAAAAGTCACACTGGTTAAGGAGGCACAGAGTCCCAAGCAAGAAGAACACAAACAGGCCCATGTACAGACACATCATAATTAAAAAGACAAAAATTAAAGACAAAGAGAGAATCTTTAAAGGCACCTAGAGAAAAGCAAACTTTACCTACAAAAGAGCTCTAATAAGGCTGTCAGCTGTTTCTCATGAGACACTGTATAGGGAATGGCATGAAGTACTCAAGGTAATTAAAATCTAAGATCTAAAACTAAGATTACTATATCCAGCAAGGCTATCATTCAAAATAGATGGTGAAATAAAGAGCTTCCCAGACAAAAAAACAGCTAAAGGAGTTTATCACCACCAAACCAGCACTAAAAGAAATGCTAAAGGGACTAATGTAATGAGAAGAAGAAAAAGAGAGAAAGAGAGAGAGAGAATCTAGGCATACAGCATTAAAATGGCAGTTAAGTACTTATCCTATATAATAAAAGGCTAATATGCAAATCTACCAAATGGCAGAATGATCAGTCACTATGATGCACACTGACCACCAGGGGGCAGACACTCAATGCAGGAGCTGCCTCCTGGTGGTCAGTGTGCTCCCACAGGGGGAGCACCGGCTGGGCTTACAACTGGTGAGTGCAGGAGTGGTAGCAGGAGCTTCTCCTGCCTCCACAGCAGCACTAAGGATGTCTGACTGATGGCTCAGGCCTGCTCCCTCCAGGCTTAAGCCTTTAGTCAGACATTCCCTGAGCACTCTCGGACTGTGAGAGGGCGCACCCAGGCTGAGGGGATCCCCCTCAGTGCAGAAATTTTGTGCTGGGCCTCTAGTCAATAATAATCTTAAATATAAATAGTTTAAATGCCCCAAACAAAAGACATAGGATAGTTGCATGGATACAAAAACATGACCCAACTATATGCTGGGTAGAAGAGACCCACCTTAGAACAAAAGAGTTACAATGGATGAGAATGAAGGTATAGAAAAACATTTTCCATGCAAATGAAAAAAAAAAAAAAAAAGATTGGTAGCAAGACTCATATCTAAGAAAACAGACTACAAAATGAAGGCCATCACAAGAGACAACAAAGGTCCCTTACATAATACTAAAGGGATCAATCCAACAGGAGGAGTAACACTGGTAAACGCATTTTTTTTTTTTTTTTTAACATTTCAGTTATTTAATCGGGTTCTTATAAGAAATTCAGAACACCGGTTTGTGAGGATAAAGCCCATTGGTGAGAGCGAACGTAGAGCGGAGGTAGCCCTGGAGCTGAGGGACAGCTTTGATTTTTGGCAGAATTTGAGAGTCCAAAGCTTTCTGGTCAACCTGTGCTGTTCTGTAATCTCGTATTTCTCCTTCTCTGTGTCGAAGATCTCACCCTCCTGGTGTTTGGGCTTGCGCAGCTTCTTCTTCTTGAAGTAAGCATGGGTGAGATGTTTGGGGATTTTCACACCAGATATCAACTTTGGTGGAGGTGGCGATGACAAATTTCTGGTGTGTTCTACGAAGAGGAACTTGATTGAGGGCCAGAGGGCCAGTCACAAGTAGCAAGCCACTGCTCAGCTGCTTCAGGAAAACCACCCTCTTGCCTCTGTGGCGCCCAGTGAGGATGATCAGAATGGTTCCAGGAGTGATGCTGGCCTGTAATCTCCTCACATGCTGGCTGAAGGGCTTCTTGCCATGGCTCTGCAGCTTTCGAGGCACATCTTCAGCAGGATAATATCGAGGCATTTTGCAGAGTTTAACCACTTGGGTACCACCATTCTTGTCACCACCAACCGGTTTTGTGACAATAGCAAGGACTTTCTCCTTTTTCTTTTCAATCCTGTATTTAGGGGCAGGATACTTCCTCTTGTACATGGCCTTTCGAGGTAAATGCATTTTTAACCACTAAAGGGGCACCTAAATATATATATAAACTTCTAGAGGAAGTTAAGAGAGAGATCAACAACAATACAGTCACAGTAGGGGACTTTAATACCCTGCTGACTTCACTGGATAGATCTGCCAGACAAAAACTTAACAAGGAAACAGTGACTCTAAATGACACACTGGATCAGTGGATTTAATGGACATTTATAGAACATTTCACCCCAAAGCTGCAAAACATACTTTCTTCTCAAGTGCACATGAGCCATTCACAAAGATAGACCACATGTTGGGACACAAAACAAGTCTCTACAAGTTCAAGAAGACTAAATTATATCAAGCATCTTCTCAGATCTCAATGGACTAAAATTAGAAATCAACCACAGTAAAAGCACTTAAAAACATTCAAACACATGAAGGCTAAATAGCATGTTATTAAACAACTAAAGGCCCTGTGCACAAATTCAAAGTCCTAGCCACAGCAATTAGACAAGAAGAAATAAAGGCATCCATATTTGAAAGGAGGAAGTAAAACTTCCATTGTTCTCAGATTACGTGCTATTGTACATAGAAAACCCTAAAGACTCCACTAAAAAACTACTAGATTTAATAAGTTAATTTGGCAATGTAGCAGAATACAAAAATCAACACCCAAAAATCAATGGAATATATATATATTTTTAATCCTCACCCAAGGACATTTGTCCATTGATTTTTAGAGAGAGGAAAAGACAGAAAAATATCCATGTGTTGCCTCCTGTACACACCTTGACTAGGGCCTGAGCCAAGGAGGATCATGCAAGGAAGTATGTGCCTTTGAACAGAATCATATCCAGGACCCTTCAGTCCTCAGGCAGATGCTCCAATCATTGAGCAAAACTGGCTAGGGCTTGATGTCTTTTTTATACACCAATAATTAATTCTCAGAAAGAGAAACTAAATAAACAATCCCATTTACC